AAAAAAAAATCTAATGATGGGCCCTTAAAAAAAAAAAAACGTTCCCACTAGGGAACCTGCTCAGAATACCATGTTAGAATGTGAGCGAATGAATGACTGAACTAGAAGGCATGTGGGTACAAGTAGGAAACCTAAAACTGTTGTACCCTATAAGAACTACCCCACTACAACCTAAACAGACCATAGCATATAAGTTTGACAGCTCCTGCCTGGCAGCGCATGCCAACCTGATTGGGCCGCACGGCAGGTTTTGCATCTGCGCTGGCAGGTGCGTTGCACCGGGACGGGTTTTGTGCGGTGGGAAATCGAACCGTGGCAAGTTTCACTGTCATTCCATGCACGACCCCGCGCGCATGGTACAGTGTTGTATTCGCCTTATTGAGGGCTTCCGAATGATATCATTTACATTGAAATTCAGTTATGCCTTTATAAAAGCGCCGGCGCTTATGGCTGCTACTCAATTACAAACGCCCCCCCTAAAAAAAAAGAATTTATTATAAGCGCATATGCGCTACTATCCAGTGTATTACGGTACATGTGCATCAGGGCCTCAGATTCGTTTTTGGCTTGGCTGATACGTCAGCCTTAGCAGCCAACGTTAAGCTGATCAATCAGAGTTGGTTGTAAAAAAAAAACTGAAAGTTCAGACAAGTATAAAAAAAAAACGCTGACTAATCAGCCTCACTTAATACACTCTGGCTGATCCATGTTGAGCACTTTTTTCATTAAATTTAGCAGGCATAACAGGGAAACACTACACCACATACATGACATTAGCTAGCTGCTCATTTCATCTTCATCACTAGAACTACCTCCTGCATCTCCTACTGGCTCCTCCTCATCATCTACATCTACTGGCTCCTCCTCATCATCTACATCTACTGGCTCCTCCTCGTGCTTGCCCTTCTTGTTCTCGCCTGGGATTGGGGTGCGAATGGGAGCATTGCTGAAAGGCTTGCGCTTTCTGTAACTCCGCCAGATCTCAACTACCTCATCGTAGTTGGGCTTGTACTGCATGAGGGACAGACACATGAGGTCCCCCAGCCTCGCGTCCTTGATCCCCCCTCTCCGCCATGTCTTGATCACGTTTTGCCGAGTGAATCCCCTTTCGCACTCCACAGTGCTGAGGGGAATCACAGCCACCGCCACCCAGAGCTGCACCAGATTGGGGTAGCTCTCCCGCCAGTCTGGCGTCTTGAGGATCGCCGATAGTCCGCTGTGGAAGCCCCTCTCTTCCTTGGGGGCACGTGCAAGGACTGAACAGAAGAGGCGAAGCTCCTTGCCTGCCTGCCTCTTGTTGATGCCTGGTGGGAGGGAGGGAGGGTTAAGATGAGGCACATGACATGAGCAAACAGGTGCACCACAAAGGATTTTCAAGCATGGATACGATATCAAAGGTTCACAAAGGCGCCACAACAGACCTGGCAAGATGTCCTCACGGTCCTGAGCCTTGAACATCGTCACCAACGACTGAAGCCACTCCAGGCAACGAGCGTTCCGCTCAGACTTGCTTTGTGGCCATGCATCTGGTGTGAACAGGCGGACTCCAGAGAGGGAGTCGAGATCACCGAGCCTTCCCTCCAGGTTCGCCACGATCCTCTCTGCGAACTCGGTGCACAACTGGATGCACCCGTCGTGGTCCTCCGGGCCGCTGTACGAGTCCACGGGCTCGTCGTGAAGGGTGAACGTGATAGAAGATGGTCGGCCGTCACCGTCGACACCTTCCACCTTCACTTCGCGGCTACACCCTGGGCCATGGCGCAGCAGGAAAGGTGACAGCCACTGGCTCATGCCGCCGCCGAAGTCATCGCCGCAGTCCACGTAGCGGCTCTCAATGTGACGCGTTGTCCGCTTGATCTGCGCATGCAAAGACACCAGATCGAGCTGGACAGACAGAGGCACACAGTGACACAGTTAAAAGGGTTAATGTGGGGACATGCGTAGCTATATTCGCACCACCTCACCTGTTTCTGCTGGAAGGTCTTGTTCAAAATGTTGAGCTGCTCAAGCACATCAGCCAGGAAGTAAAGGAAGAAGTGAAAACGGTAGGAGCTTGCCAGTTTGTACATCTTGCTGTTAAGCTCCTTCAGCAGCACAATCACTGCCGGCAAAACAGCGACAAGGCGACGAACGGCATCCCCCCTTGACAACCACCGAACGGAATGGATGCCTTGCACTTCAAGGCTCGTTTCGGTGATGACTTCCTGCAGGTCCATGAACCGTGCGTGGCGCGGTCCCGACCGACCAAGCAAATCCGCCACTGCCCGGATGAGATCGTCGACCATGTCGAAGACGGGGAGCTCCTCTGCTGCATCCTTCGCTGCAAGTGCCTCCCTGCAAGTACAACATCAAACTCAAGACGTTAAACACGAGCTCGAACCACATGGCGTAACGGGCTGGAAACGTAGCAGCAGAGCTCACTTACCTGTGAGCGATGCAGTGAACGGAGACAAGGTGCGGAATCTTCTGTCGCAGGCGGACAACCAGGCCGGCCTTAGACCCCATCATCACTCTTGCGCCGTCGGTGCTAATGCCAGAAATTCTCTGTAGATCGACACCGACGGACTGCAAGTGGGAAAGCAGGATGCTCAGAAGTGAAGAAGCGTCCGCCTTTTCCACCGTGATCAGCTGCATGAACTCGGTCACGAGCACGTGGTCGCGGATGAACGAGGCATACAAGATCATGTGCTTCCCCCGGAGTCGATCCGTGCTTTCATCGATGCAGATGCCGATGAAAGGGCTTGTCAGGATGTGCTCCAGCTGAGTTGTCTGTAGCCAGGTAGCAAGGGCCTGCGTGAGCTCACCGAAGCCGTACCTACACGCAGGGAAACCAAAGACAAGAGATTAGAAGAGGGTTTAGGGTTGAACATCAAAACATCAACGCAATACAAATGTGGCTACTACTCACGTTGTGTAGTAGGTGCCATATCCCTTCTTAGGGTAGCCCTGGACACCCTTACGCGCGAGGTACTGCACCAGCTTCACCCATGTTCCCATTGGCGCATCGCAGGAACTGACGAACAGCATGGAGTCGAGCAATGCCACGACGCGGTTCTTCTCAGCATCGATGGCGGCTCGATGTTGGTCGATCCGTGGCTGCTTTGAGGCCGCGTTCAGCAGAGCCTCTTGCTTCTCCATCGCCAGCCTGTGTTTCGTCGTGCCGGCGTGCTTGCGAAACGCCTGCGTCTGCACGTCCGTCGCCCCTCGCCCTGTCCGGCCACATCGCCCCCTGACTCCGGCATGCTTGGTGCAGACACTGCACTTAAAAGCAGGGAAACCAGATTTAGATTTGGTTAGCACAAGCCACGGGAACCTCTCAGACCACTTGGTTTTGTACTTCAAAAGAGCGTCTGCATAGACTGCCTCGATGGCCTCTGAAATGTCTATGACCAAGGATGGAAGAGGGGTTGTGTTGTTCGCGACAGGTTGCTCGACGGCGGTGCTCGAAGAAGGTTTTGCCCAGCTCAGCGTCGACTGCTTGAGCTTGAAGTTGCGCGGGCCAGTGGACTTTGTTGTTGGCGAGTCGAGAACCACCGTGTCGGAGACGGCAGCCGGCGCAGCAGGCTCACCCCGGATGGAATCCGAGCTTGAAGAAACCGGTGGGTGGTCGCGGTGCACCCTCTCGACTAGTGCTGGCTTTGCAGTAGGAAGCCTGGGAGCGAGGACACCAGGGGCAAGCGAGCGCAGGAGCATATCAAGCCCCGTCCTGGCTTCCTCTAGGCCGTCTAATTCATCATCGCTGCCTGCATCATCATCGCAACCTACGCCTTCTGCAAGGCCGGCCATGGCTGAAAGGGGAGAGCGTGCCGAGCTCCAACGTTGCTAGCTAGGGTTTGAGAAAACCAAGGCGAGAGGCGTGGATTGACAGTGCAGCTCGCCTAGGGGGTGGGTACGGTGGGGTCATCAAGAGAGAGCCATAAAAGAAGGCCCTCTCATTCTCACCACCCATCAGCTACGCGGCGCGACGAGGGGGCACCATGCACGCACTTAGATGCAGGTTCGGGGTGGGTGAGATGGGGTGAGGTGGGTGTCCTTGTCGTGAGTGCGTGCGGTGCGTTCCTGTGCTGCACTGGTGGCGGGTGATTGGCGCATAAGGGATGTGATTGGTTTACCAACGAATCACATCTATTTAAGCATTCTGTCGGTGACAACGAAGCAAACGACGAGTCGGAAATTCGTTTTCCCCCCGCGTCGGCGCTGTACATGGCAAATTTTGCGTGATTGACGGTCGATGAACCTGGACAGCCGAAACTCACGGCTCCTGCACGAATCTGTAATAGCGTGAATTCAGCCTACACTCTCGTTACAAGTCTGATAAATCAGCGAACACTTGTAAAAAAACGCTGGATAATCAGCCAAAACATAAAAAAAAAACCTGAACAATCAGCCAACACATTAAAAAAAAAACTGAACTTTCAGCCAGCACATCGCCCACATGTCTGTGAAATCAGCGTCCAGACCCTAAATCAGCCTTTTTTTGCTGACATCTGAGGGCCTGATGTGCATACACCGAGATACGAACCCGAGACTGCTATGATACCATGTTAGAATCGCAACCATTTAGACAATTGAGATAAAATGGCTTGTTTGTGTAACGAGTTTGTGCGCCCATAACCCCCCATACGAACGCGCCTGTAAACCCCCCCTAGGATCAATCAGGCATCCAGTGCAGATCTACTGACAACTTGATCAGTCATGTACAGGTTTACTGTACACTTTTGTACAAAACAAATGTGAAGGAACTATAGCAATTCCCATAAGCTCTTAATATATATCCTTGTCTTGCATGTTCTTCTCTAAAAGCCTCAAGTCAAACAGGTGGCACATGGTTGGTCGACCATGGGGACAATTCCAAGGTGACTGCAACGTTGACAGCTGGCACAGGATCTGAAACATAATCCAGGAGAAGTAAAATTATTGGTCAATATTGACGCAGCAAAAAAATAGAGAGTATTTTCAAAAAAGAAAATCGCCACGTATTTATGGACGAATCATCATACCTTGCTCATCTGCGCCTGGCTGAGCGCCGTGCCAATCATGACGGAGCTCCTGCACGCCCTTGAAGCCAGCATGGCCCGCACCCGTGACGGCCGCACTGCTACAATCGTTGATGGCGATGCTGACGGTGATGGCGCTGGTGCCTCTGCAGCTCCAGACCTCCCCTTACGCGGAGAAGGACCCCCAACCGTGCCGCTCTCGTTGTTGATCTCACTGCGCCGGACTTGCGGAGAGCTTGTTGAGTTTTCATGCAGTGAACCTTGGTGATTTTCAGCACCAGGTGCACCATCCGTTCCATCTTTTGCGGCACCGGTTGCATGAAAGAGGACAGCATCAGGGAGAGAAGCAGAACCAGCAGGTGTTTCTGGGTCGGGGAGGGGTGCGTCTGCCAGCATTGAGATGAGCTCACACACGTCTGGAGGAAGGGAACAGAAGAGCGGGAACGGGCACCTTTTCAAATTTGATGAAAGGATGGAGAGGCACGATATCGGATGAGAGGGGCAAAGTGCACAATGGTGAAATAAAATAAACTTCATAATCTAAAATTGGTTGGCAAATGTGGAAAGTTTGTGCATTCAATATGGGTAACAAATAAGCAGCAAGGCATATAGCAGCAATAGAGGCGGCTATTAGTGTTTAAAGACCTGAGAAATAAAGAGCACCGGACCATCTGAGCTTATGACAGGCCAAACTCACCAGAAGCACCAAATACGATGTTCTTCGAGAAAGGCACGGCTGAGAGGCAGAATCGACGGCCGGATGGAGCACTCTCGTCCACGGAGAAATGAAAGCCGTTGGATCTGATGATGAGAGGGGTGGATTGAGGTAAGAGTTCGGCGAAGTAGGCAGTGGAGAGGAAGGGTGACGAGATCGAAGGGCCGATGAAGGCAAAACGGAAGGGGAGGGCATGAGGGATGTCAATACAGAGTCATATCGAAACTCGATGCATAAAGAAGAGGAAGGGACATGAGGAATGGATGTCTAATCGTGGGAACATGAAAGGCCACAGCAATCAGTTAAGGATGTCTCTGTAAGAGGGATGATAAAAACAGAGTGCAGGAGAATGTGGGAAAGAAGAGGGGTAAGGTGATCAGAGACCTGAGTGGTTAGGTGTGATGCATGTGTGTGATGGCAACATGACAAAACTAGCTAGATGGCCTGTATGTCTGAGATCAAAAGGGCGATCACATATCCCACATTACTATTGTGTGCACCTGAATGTGGGCATGTGTGCCGATACAATAACTTCTTCTGTTGGTGAAAAATCCAGCCGTTGCGGCCTGCAGAGACAGTCCAGGGCAGTTGCAGAGAGCAAGCAGAGATGAGCAAGCAGAGATGAGCGAGCAGAGATGAGCAAGCAGAGATGAGCAAGCAGAGATGAGCAAGCAGAGATGAGCAAGCAGAGATGAGCAAGCAGAGATGAGCGAGCAGAGATGAGCAAGCAGAGATGAGCAAGCAGAGATGAGCAAGCAGAGATGAGCAAGCAGAGATGAGCAAGCAGAGATGAGCAAGCAGAGATGAGCAAGCAGAGATGAGCAAGCAGAGATGAGCAAGCAGAGATGAGCAAGCAGAGATGAGCAAGCAGAGATGAGCAAGCAGAGATGAGCAAGCAGAGATGAGCAAGCAGAGATGAGCAAGCAGAGATGAGCAAGCAGAGATGAGCAAGCAGAGATGAGCAAGCAGAGATGAGCAAGCAGAGATGAGCAAGCAGAGATGAGCAAGCAGAGATGAGCAAGCAGAGATGAGCAAGCAGAGATGAGCAAGCAGAGATGAGCAAGCAGAGATGAGCGAGCAGAGATGAGCAAGCAGAGATGAGCAAGCAGAGATGAGCAAGCAGAGATGAGCAAGCAGAGATGAGCAAGCAGAGATGAGCAAGCAGAGATGAGCAAGCAGAGATGAGCAAGCAGAGATGAGCAAGCAGAGATGAGCAAGCAGAGATGAGCAAGCAGAGATGAGCAAGCAGAGATGAGCAAGCAGAGATGAGCAAGCAGAGATGAGCAAGCAGAGATGAGCAAGCAGAGATGAGCAAGCAGAGATGAGCAAGCAGAGATGAGCAAGCAGAGATGAGCGAGCAGAGATGAGCAAGCAGAGATGAGCAAGCAGAGATGAGCGAGCAGAGATGAGCAAGCAGAGATGAGCAAGCAGAGATGAGCAAGCAGAGATGAGCAAGCAGAGATGAGCAAGCAGAGATGAGCAAGCAGAGATGAGCAAGCAGAGATGAGCAAGCAGAGATGAGCAAGCAGAGATGAGCAAGCAGAGATGAGCAGAGAGCAGCAGAGATGAGCAAGCAGAGATGAGCAGATGAGCAGCAGAGATGAGCAAGCAGAGATGAGCAAGCAGAGATGAGCAAGCAGAGATGAGCAAGCAGAGATGAGCAAGCAGAGATGAGCAAGCAGAGATGAGCAAGCAGAGATGAGCAAGCAGAGATGAGCAAGCAGAGATGAGCAAGCAGAGATGAGCAAGCAGAGATGAGCAAGCAGAGATGAGCAAGCAGAGATGAGCAAGCAGAGATGAGCAAAGCAGAGATGAGCAAGCAGAGATGAGCAAGCAGAGATGAGCAAGCAGAGATGAGCAAGCAGAGATGAGCAAGCAGAGATGAGCAAGCAGAGATGAGCAAGCAGAGATGAGCAAGCAGAGATGAGCAAGCAGAGATGAGCAAGCAGAGATGAGCAAGCAGAGATGAGCAAGCAGAGATGAGCAAGCAGAGATGAGCAAGCAGAGATGAGCAAGCAGAGATGAGCAAGCAGAGATGAGCAAGCAGAGATGAGCAAGCAGAGATGAGCAAGCAGAGATGAGCGAGCAGAGATGAGCAAGCAGAGATGAGCGAGCAGAGATGAGCAAGCAGAGATGAGCAAGCAGAGATGAGCAAGCAGAGATGAGCAAGCAGAGATGAGCGAGCAGAGATGAGCAAGCAGAGATGAGCAAGCAGAGATGAGCGAGCAGAGATGAGCAAGCAGAGATGAGCAAGCAGAGATGAGCAAGCAGAGATGAGCAAGCAGAGATGAGCAAGCAGAGATGAGCAAGCAGAGATGAGCAAGCAGAGATGAGCAAGCAGAGATGAGCAAGCAGAGATGAGCAAGCAGAGATGAGCAAGCAGAGATGAGCGAGCAGAGATGAGCAAGCAGAGATGAGCGAGCAGAGATGAGCAAGCAGAGATGAGCAAGCAGAGATGAGCAAGCAGAGATGAGCAAGCAGAGATGAGCAAGCAGAGATGAGCAAGCAGAGATGAGCAAGCAGAGATGAGCAAGCAGAGATGAGCAAGCAGAGATGAGCAAGCAGAGATGAGCAAGCAGAGATGAGCAAGCAGAGATGAGCAAGCAGAGATGAGCAAGCAGAGATGAGCAAGCAGAGATGAGCAAGCAGAGATGAGCAAGCAGAGATGAGCAAGCAGAGATGAGCAAGCAGAGATGAGCAAGCAGAGATGAGCAAGCAGAGATGAGCAAGCAGAGATGAGCAAGCAGAGATGAGCAAGCAGAGATGAGCAAGCAGAGATGAGCGAGCAGAGATGAGCAAGCAGAGATGAGCGAGCAGAGATGAGCGAGCAGAGATGAGCAAGCAGAGATGAGCAAGCAGAGATGAGCAAGCAGAGATGAGCAAGCAGAGATGAGCAAGCAGAGATGAGCAAGCAGAGATGAGCAAGCAGAGATGAGCAAGCAGAGATGAGCAAGCAGAGATGAGCAAGCAGAGATGAGGAAGCAGAGATGAGCAAGCAGAGATGAGCAAGCAGAGATGAGCAAGCAGAGATGAGCAAGCAGAGATGAGCGAGCAGAGATGAGCAAGCAGAGATGAGCAAGCAGAGATGAGCGAGCAGAGATGAGCAAGCAGAGATGAGCAAGCAGAGATGAGCGAGCAGAGATGAGCAAGCAGAGATGAGAAAGCAGAGATGAGCAAGCAGAGATGAGCAAGCAGAGATGAGCAAGCAGAGATGAGCAAGCAGAGATGAGCAAGCAGAGATGAGCAAGCAGAGATGAGCAAGCAGAGATGAGCAAGCAGAGATGAGCAAGCAGAGATGAGCGAGCAGAGATGAGCAAGCAGAGATGAGCAAGCAGAGATGAGCGAGCAGAGATGAGCAAGCAGAGATGAGCAAGCAGAGATGAGCAAGCAGAGATGAGCAAGCAGAGATGAGCAAGCAGAGATGAGCAAGCAGAGATGAGCAAGCAGAGATGAGCAAGCAGAGATGAGCAAGCAGAGATGAGCAAGCAGAGATGAGCAAGCAGAGATGAGCAAGCAGAGATGAGCAAGCAGAGATGAGCAAGCAGAGATGAGCAAGCAGAGATGAGCAAGCAGAGATGAGCGAAGCAGAGATGAGCAAGCAGAGATGAGCAAGCAGAGATGAGCAAGCAGAGATGAGCAAGCAGAGATGAGCAAGCAGAGATGAGCAAACAGAGATGAGCAAGCAGAGATGAGCAAGCAGAGATGAGCAAGCAGAGATGAGCAAGCAGAGATGAGCAAGCAGAGATGAGCAAGCAGAGATGAGCGAGCAGAGATGAGCAAGCAGAGATGAGCGAGCAGAGATGAGCAAGCAGAGATGAGCAAGCAGAGATGAGCGAGCAGAGATGAGCAAGCAGAGATGAGCAAGCAGAGATGAGCGAGCAGAGATGAGCAAGCAGAGATGAGCAAGCAGAGATGAGCAAGCAGAGATGAGCAAGCAGAGATGAGCAAGCAGAGATGAGCAAGCAGAGATGAGCAAGCAGAGATGAGCAAGCAGAGATGAGCAAGCAGAGATGAGCAAGCAGAGATGAGCAAGCAGAGATGAGCGAGCAGAGATGAGCAAGCAGAGATGAGCGAGCAGAGATGAGCAAGCAGAGATGAGCGAGCAGATGAGCAAGCAGAGATGAGCAAGCAGAGATGAGCAAGCAGAGATGAGCAAGCAGAGATGAGCAAGCAGAGATGAGCAAGCAGAGATGAGCAAGCAGAGATGAGCAAGCAGAGATGAGCAAGCAGAGATGAGCAAGCAGAGATGAGCAAGCAGATATGAGCAAGCAGAGATGAGCAAGCAGAGATGAGCAAGCAGAGATGAGCAAGCAGAGATGAGCAAGCAGAGATGAGCAAGCAGAGATGAGCAAGCAGAGATGAGCAAGCAGAGATGAGCAAGCAGAGATGAGCGAGCAGAGATGAGCAAGCAGAGATGAGCGAGCAGAGATGAGCAAGCAGAGATGAGCAAGCAGAGATGAGCAAGCAGAGATGAGCAAGCAGAGATGAGCAAGCAGAGATGAGCAAGCAGAGATGAGCAAGCAGAGATGAGCGAGCAGAGATGAGCAAGCAGAGATGAGCGAGCAGAGATGAGCAAGCAGAGATGAGCAAGCAGAGATGAGCAAGCAGAGATGAGCAAGCAGAGATGAGCAAGCAGAGATGAGCAAGCAGAGATGAGCAAGCAGAGATGAGCAAGCAGAGATGAGCAAGCAGAGATGAGCGAGCAGAGATGAGCAAGCAGAGATGAGCGAGCAGAGATGAGCAAGCAGAGATGAGCGAGCAGAGATGAGCAAGCAGAGATGAGCAAGCAGAGATGAGCAAGCAGAGATGAGCAAGCAGAGATGAGCAAGCAGAGATGAGCAAGCAGAGATGAGCAAGCAGAGATGAGCAAGCAGAGATGAGCAAGCAGAGATGAGCAAGCAGAGATGAGCAAGCAGAGATGAGCAAGCAGAGATGAGCAAAACACATGATGAGCAAAACACATGATGAGCAAAACACATGATGAGCAAAACACATGATGAGCAAAACACATGATGAGCAAAACACATGATGAGCAAAACACATGATGAGCAAAACACATGATGAAAGAACGAGAAGCGGGACGAAGAGACGAGGGAGAAAAGAAGGAAACAGGCTAGCATCACCTACGACCGCTCATAAGCCATGGATGCAGCAAAAAGCGACACGCAGAGCGCTCAGGAAGCATGCAGAGGTGGATTGAGCAGCGCAGAGGCTCCCGGATGACAACTGTGGATTGCACATCTAACGCGCGAGGGACACAACAAGTTGACTTAAGATGGGATGGAAATACGCCCTCAAAATAGCACCACTCAAACTCTCACTCGCACCACTCACTCTCACTCGCACCACTCACACTCTCACCACTGACAGTCCTCGCACTATGCACACTCACACGAGCAGCGGCTGTCTGTTGAGCAGCGTGCATCGCATGAGGCGCTCAAAGTTGAACTTCTCGTCCGATGCATGCTGATGAGCCAGTGGGGGAGGGGGGGGTTTGGATGAGATGACGTGTGAAAAGGAGGACGCAAGTACAGACAAGGACATACGCAGGAGTGAGATGGCCTAAACTGTGCCACAACTCATGCCAACATGCATGCTGTACCTGATCCACGATGAAGAGATCAGATCCCAGCCGTCCAATGATGAACCCAAGGTTGAACTGGCCAATCACAGCCATGCTGGCGAAGTCGCGCTTGTCAAACCGCCGCTCCAGCTCCCGTGCTGCCGCCTCCAATGCTGCCTCCTTGCCCTCCCCTTCATGCTGAATCTTCCTTCCACCACTGCTGTGTGCAGCGTTACTCGTACCATCAGCCACTGACGCCGCTGCAAAGCTTCTTTGCCTCTCACTCTTGCCGTGCCCTGCCACTCCCCTTCGCCCCTCCCTCTTCTCCCTCGCCTCCCTCTCAGCGCGTCGCCGCCACACTTGCTGCACGCGCCGCATGTTGAACTGCACCTGCACGCTGCCCTCTGCGCCCCTCACCTCCCACCCTTCCCCTGACCCTGCCACTCGGTTCGCACCCAATGCAGCCCCCTCTTCCGTCTCCATTCCTTCTATCCTCACCCCTCTCTCGCCTCCTTCCTGTCCCTCCTCTCCTTCCAACTCCCCTGCGTGCCCGCCGCAACATCTCCCCTTCCCTGCCCCCTCTGCCACAGCCATCTCAGAAGTTTCGTGCTGCCCGGCCAACTGGGTACCGGGCAGCAGCTGTGAGCCCACCAGTTCGGGAAGGTCAGCCTGGGTAATTTCTTGAGTCATCAGGGGCAGTTCCAGAACACTTTTACCTGCCCACTCATCCCGGGTTGCCTCCTGCAAGCCACCATGAACCCCACATTGAGCAGCATCATGCCTTTCCCCATCGTGACTCCTGCCCCTTTCCACTGGCATTTCCCCTCCCTCCCCTTCTACCTGCTCCACTTCCCTTACTTCATCAGTATCCTCATCCTCCTCGCTCTGATCCTCGTCTCTCTCCACTGCTTTCCCCTTCCCACAGTCCTCCGCCGAACCATATCCAGCTCTCCCTCTCACACGTCCCCCCACATCCACACCGGCCATCTTGCCTCCCCCGCTTCCCCCTTTCCCTCGTCCTCCCCCGCCCCTCTTCCCCAGCCAAGCATCGAGCCCCGCCTGTCTCCCATCCGCCCCTCCCCGCGCCCTTTCCACCCCTCCACTGCTCTCTACCCCCGCCCTTCCCCTCCCCACGCCTCGGCTTCCCACCCCTTGCGCCTGAGCAGCAACACCCCTCATGGATCGCTGCCCCCCTCCCCTCACTGCCCTGCTGCTTCCATCCCTCCTTCCCACATTGGCTCCTTCACTCTCCCTCTCCTCTTCCTCCTCTTCCTGCTCTGGCTCCTCCTCTTCCTCTTCCTCTTCTGCTTCCTCTTCCTCCACTTGCTGCACTCTCTGCCAGTCTCTCTGCCGCTCAGCGGCTGCCTTGTGACGCGTCTCATACCCCCGAGACAAAGAGCTCCTGTCTGCTGTGCCGTCACCACACGTCACATCCTTGCCTCTGTCGTCGCCCATACCCATACCCATGCCCATACCCATACCCATGCCCATACCCACACCCACAATCTTGCCCACACCCACACCCAAACCCAAGCCCTTGCCCTTGGCTTTTCCTTTACCCTGGGGGCTCATGAGCAGCAGGCGGCGCATGGCTGCCGCCTTGCTCTCGCTCCACTGCAGCGTGGTTGCACTGCCTCCTCCTATTCCTCCTGCTCTTGCTGCGCCCCATCCTGCTGCTCCTGCTGCTCCTCCTGCAAACACACTCCCTTCTCCTCGTTCTGCTATTGCTCCTCCTCTCCCCCCTGTCGACCCCCACACTGGCCCCCCCTGTGCTGCGTCCACTCTTCCCTCCCCACGCTCACACTGATGCCGCAGCTGCTCTCTGTCTCCCTCCCCTTCCACCACCTCCACCCCTTCTTCGTCCTCCTCCATCTGCCCACCCCCGTTCAACTCGTCTCCACCACACCTGCCCCCATCATTATCCGCATCTCCTGTTTTGCCATCATCCCCACCCGAACGTTCTGCAAGTTTCCCTGTTCTATCGCTACTGCCTATGTGCTCCACCACTCCACACCTCTTGCCCACACGCCCACCACCATTAATTCCAACCCCCCCAACAGCACCACCACCACTATCACTACTCACCCTCACTCGCTTCCTCCTCCCCTCCTCCTCCTCTTCCTCTCCCTCTTCACCACCCTCCCCCTCATCCTCACCATCCCCTACCCCTCTCCTCACACCCCTTCTCACCCCTCCCTTCTCCCCAACCTCCCTCCTCACCCGTTCCTCTAACCCCTTCCCCACCGAACCAGCCGGCGCGGCTCGGTAGACATACCTGTCCGGAGAGTAATACTCCGACAGCGCCGCTCGCAGCCCCGACAGCAGCGCCGCCTCCGAGTGCAAAAACACCTTGCGCTTATCCGGGGTCACGTTCACGTCATAAGCATCCGCGCTAAGCGAAACGTTTAGGAAAGCGGCGGGGAACTGCAGGGAGTTGAAGGAGCGGTAGAGCTCGTTGAGCAGCTTGGAGAGGCGCGGCAGGTCCACCGGGCGGCCGTTGAGGAAGAAGAACTGCCGGTCCCCTGCTGACCTGCCACTGCCCGCCCCTGGCCTGGATAGGAACCCGGTTACTCTGCAGCACGAGGCTGGTAGCGGCGCAGGGGCAGTGGCAGCTGCACTGGTCGCAGCAGAAGGAAGAGCAGGAGCAGCAGGAGCAGCAGCAGCGGCAGAAGAAGGGGAGAGAGGGAAGGTGATATCAACAGGGTCCAGGCCCCCAGCAGCCTTGGCGCCAAAGACAGCGATGATGTTTTCCCGCATCGACCCTGTGCCAGCTGTCTGCACCACAGTGGTGCGCGCGCTGCTCCGCCCGCTCTGATTGGTGCAGAGGATGCGCGCGTGTGTGGACACCACACAGTACGCCTGCAAGGCGCTCACCAGCTTCGCAAACTCCCGCCGCACGTTCCGCTCAAACTCCCTCCGCCGCACGGGCAGCGGCGAGAAAATCTTCGCCATGCTGACCGTCGTTCCGACTGCTGATCGGAGGAGGAATACAGGAGGTTGGGAGGTGGGTGGTGTGATGTTTGCGGGTCAGAACTAGCAAGCAACCTGTCAAACCAACAATTTCACAGTGCCCACGTGCCCCCCACGTGGCCCCCACGTGCCCCGGTTTACCTCCCACCCTCCAGCCAGTTCCTAGTCAGACTCCAACCACTCCAACCATATCTGTGCCAAGCCCACAGCTCCTTCACGCCTACCTTTCAGGCTCTCACCCCCATCGCCCTCACTCTCCAAGCCCCCACCTGCCAGCTGTCACCTGACACACCACACCCCCCCTCGCCCAAAACACCCGTTCGCTCACAATCCCCTATGCTCCGACAGCCACAACTGCCACAACCCTGAGCGCTCTCAACGCCGCTTGACCACCCTCAACGCTCCTTGGGGCGCCCAGGCGTCACCTGCCAGTTGGGAGGCGCCACCCCACAGCCGTTGTCCGCCACCTCGATGAGCTCCGCGCCGAAGTCCTTGAGGCGCACCTCCACACTCGTCGCTCCCGCGTCCAGACTGTTCTCCACCAGCTCCTTCACCGCCGCCGCCACGTCCAGCACCACCTGGGGTGGGGGAGAGAGGGGAGGAGGTGGGGGTTCGGGGATGCAAGGAGCACGTATCCCACCGGCCGATTCTAGGCTGTTCTCCAGCACCTCCTTCACCGCCGCTGCCACGTCCAACACCACCTGCGTGACACGGCGACGGCGGAGGGAGGAGGGGTGGAGGAGCAGGAGGCGGCGGAAAGGGCATCACAATGGCTGCTCTCCGCGAGCTCCTTCCCCGCTGTCGACGGGCCCAGCACCACCTGAATCACACGAGGACAAGGTGTGAACTAGCGGGGCGAGAAAGAATATGTTTTTGAGTCGGCTCAACTGCGACGGGGTTCACACTACTGTTCAGTAAACTCTCAACACGTGTCAGGGCTGATCTCAGCGGCGTGGCGTGCGGTGCTCCTCCCGCCAGATTTATGCTCGGCAAAGACGAGCGGCGAGCGGGAGACTATACGGGGGGTTGCGGGTTGAGAGGAGCTCTGGGGGAGTGCGACAGACTGCGCGCCGCAGACGACGTCGCCGTGCAGGAAACTGCGCAATTGCACTAAAGGCACGAGAGTAGTTTAAACGCTTGAGCTATTCGGGCTCACCTGTCCCGAGCATATGCGGTGAATGGCGGCCTTATCAATTGCTCGGATCATGGTTCCCCTGCCGCTGGCGTTATCGATACCATCGGCGACATCATCGTTTGTATTTGCGGGCATACAGTGAGCAGGCATGCTAAAAGAAGTAGTATCTTAGACGGTGACGAATAAGTAGTATCTTAGGAACAGAAAGGATGGCCAGAACGGAGAAACATGAGTGTGCTAACTCTGGGGTCTACGGGAATGGCGCCTTCAATCTCACACGTTCCACAATTAAAGCTCAAGGCCCAAATTGTTCAACCTTAGTAAGGTTGACCTCTGGGTAGCGTGAGAGGAAGGTTGACTTGTTTGAAGTTGGTGTGTTTAGTTTCGCGCAGCTTCTCGCTACACAGTCAGAATTTTCGCTGACTCAGCAAACCCCAGGAAGCAACTCGGTTCTGGTTCTCGAGTCCCAAATTGCACTCACAATATTCTTGGTGTTTCCTGCTTTCCGATTCGTCCAAAAATTGATGGCCAATCAAATTGCATCGCACTTCTCGTAACCACAATTCGCAACCAAAACAACACTCAGAAAGCACTCCGATCAACTTTAGTAAGCTTGTCCCGCGCGCTCTGCAATTTGGGCCTTGAGCTTTAAGTTAAGCAACTCGAATTCAATTTTTGTTTTCAACTCGGCTTCAATCTCACGAGAGTGGCAGTTCTGGTTCTACAGCTCGAATTCAAATTTGGAAACCGGCACGCGTTTGTGAGGTCTGCGATAAAAGGCAATATCATTTACTTTGCTCGTCCAATTGCACTCGTGCTTGTTCATGGTAGCTTGTATCTCGTAACATGGCGAGCTTTCGCCCATGCTCTCCTCATGCTCGCGACGAGCCAACTGTTGAATTTCTGGATGCTTCCATTCCATGGTCAGGGTACACAACCCTTCGCTCAAGTTTCTTGTGAGGGTTATCCTTTGTCGGCCTATCAAGTTTATGTCTCTGCTGAATGTATGAGCCGAGAGCAGTAACGCCCGTCTTGTTCCTGGGTACTAGTACCAGCCTGTCGTCCCTGCGTTATTTTCCTAATAAAGGCACGGGTGCGACAGGTTTCGTGCAGCCATGGCGGAACATCTCGCGTCCATCTTCGGCACGGAGAAGGACAGGGTGAACTGTCCCTTCTACTTCAAGATCGGCGCGTGCCGCCACGGCGATCGCTGCTCGCGTCTTCACAACAGGTGCTGTATGGCACCTTTGCCGATACTCACCCACTCCCGGAGCGCATCGTTCCTCCCCTCGTACCTCCCGTCCCGCCGCGTTATAACATTGATCGTTCTCGCCTCGCTATTGTATTCTTATCGCACTGTCATTTCTGCTGTGTTTTTCTCTTGCCCTTGTCGCTGCCAGGCCGACCATCAGTCCGACTCTACTCCTGGCTAACATGTACCAGCGTCCCGACATGTCGACACCGGGCGGCGAGCCAGACAAGACGATGGATCCGAAGAAGATCCAGGAGCACTACGAGGACTTTTACGAGGATCTGTTCGAGGAGCTCAGCAAGTACGGCGAGCTCAACAGCCTCAACATCTGCGACAACCTCGCCGACCACATGGTCACCTCGCCAACCCTTTCGCTGCCTGCTCCACGTGTCCTGCTGTCCATCTTGTTAATCTGTTTTTTTTTTTTTTTTTTTTACACGACACTTTGCTGATCGCTCCGTCGTGCGTAGAGACTGCGTGCCTTTTACTGACCGTTTGGCGTGTGTGATGCGCGTGCAGGTGGGCAACGTGTATGTCAACTTCCGCGAGGAGGAGCAGGCTGCGACGGCTCTCAGAGCGCTGACTGGCCGCTTCTATGCAGGTTGGTGTCTCGTCGTTGCTTACTTTGTCACGCAGCTTCTTCCTGGGCCCTTTTCCGCGTCCCCTTAGCCGCTCACACATGCAAATGCTGCACCTTGTGTCTCGGCTTCTACCCTGTTCATTACCATCTACCGCACCATCCGCCTCACGATCCGCCTCACCATCCTCCTTATTATCCGCTTCGTTCTCTCGGGCTCACAGGGCGACCCATCCTGGTGGACTTCTCGCCCGTCACCGACTTCCGCGAGGCCACGTGTCGCCAGTACGAGGAGAACACGTGCAACCGTGGCGGCTACTGCAACTTCATGCATCTGAAGAAGATCAGCAGGTGCCCTTCCCATGTTGCCTCCCTCTCGGTCCTTCACTTTGAAACCTCTTTAACCGCTACGGTACTCCAGCTTTTAATCTGTTTCTCCTTTTCTGCATATGATATTGCCGTCTTAGTGCACGCGACGATATTTGCAACATCTTGCTTATTTCTTGCTACACGTTTTTATTTACTTCCAGGGAGCTTCGACGGAAGCTTTTCGGAGACAGGAGGCGGAGCCGCAGCCGCAGCCCCCCTCGCGGCGGCGGCGGCGGCGGCAGAAACGACCGTTATGACGACCGTCGCGGCGGCGGTTACGGCGGCCGCGGAGGCGGGTACGGCGGCGGAGGGCGGGGCCGCGACCGCTACGACGACCGCCGGTTCGACGACCGGCGTCGCGGGCGGCGATCGCGCAGCCGCAGCAGAAGCCCCGTGCGCGAGGGCAGCGCGGAACGGCGCGCGAAGATCGAGCAGTGGAACCTCGCGCGGGAGGAGCGGGACAGGCCGCCTGCTAGCGGAGGGGGAGGCGGAGGGTACGAGGGAGGGGATCGCGGGGGTGGGGCAGACAGGGGGGGATACCAGGGGGGAGGAGGGGGAGGGTACGATGGGTACAACGGCGGGTATGGCGGAGGCGGCGGCGGGGGTGGCGGCGGCGGCAGGGGAGGCTACGATGCGTATGGCGCTGGCGCTGGCGGCGGTGGTGGGTACCAGGACGGAGCTCCGCCGCGTGACTATGGTGCGCCAGTTGACGCGCGGGGGGGATACGGGGCCCCTGCAGGGGACTACAGGGGCGCGCCAGGGGGGTACGGGGGTTACCAGGGCGACGGCAGGGACGGAGGGTACGGCGCTGCTGCTGGTGGTGGTGCACCCCCTGTGCTGCCGCCACAGCAGCAGCAGCATGAGCGGCGGGAGTATGACGGGTATGGAGCAGGAGGCGGCGGGGACAGGCGCGACTACCCTCCGCAGCAGTACTAAGCCCCTGGTGCACTGAACCCGCGCTGAGGGTGTATGCGATGGACTTCTGTTGTTATGGTCTTAGTGTTTCTGCAGCTGCAGGACGGCAGTAGCAGCGCCTCTCCTCTGAAGTCGGTGTTTGAGGGCCTCGTCGGAAGAGCACGTGGGCCAACGCCTCATTTTCTCGTTGTGACGACATCTGTCTGTGTGGCAGTGCAGCAATGGCAAGACCCCAAGCTCCCTGACTCCAACATGTGGACATGAGATTTTCCTCATCCACTGACAAGTGGGAGCTTGAAGTGCTACTTGCTGCTTTGGCGTTTTCTCCTAGACCCCTCATGTCTTGCCCTTGTGCAGGCACAGTGACAGGCCGTGCTGAGGTCGTCTGTGTGCCTTCTCAGGTTCATGTGCATGCTCTTGCATGTGCTCTTGCATGTGCTTTGTGGGATGCAGGGCATCTGTTTTGCAGGATTGCAGGGTAGCAAGACAGGATTTGTTTGTTGTTTTTCGTTTTGTTCAGGCTGAATCTTGTTCTGCTTGTGTGCAGCATGCAGGGTCAGGGGTAGCAGGTCAAGTGTCAGTTTCAGGGGCAGGTTACAGGATAGGGACGGGGTAAAGGTGGGGGGTAGGCACAGGGTAGAGGCTCGGGAACGGGAAGGACACAGGAACAGGTTCAAGAATGGAATTAACACGGTGACAGGTTGGGAAGATTGAAGGATGCCAAAAACAGGTTCAGGAATAGAAGTACGTTCTGGATGAAGGGCAGAGGGGCGGGTCTGGGCACAGCAAACAGGTGTGAGGGGAGGAACAGATGCAGGATTGCATGGGAAGAAACAGATAGCTGCGCTGAAAGGGCAGCAGTAGGTGCAGAGTTCAAAGTAGCAGGAACAAGTGCAGGGTTAGGAAGTGGAAGGAGCAGATGTACAGTTGAATGTTCAAGAAAAGGGTGCAACAGGTGAAAGGCTGAGTTCCTTTAGCAGATGCAAAGTTCGGATGGCTCAACACAAGCCTGCTTTTTAGATGAAGGCCAAGAACGTAACTGCAAGAACAGCACAGGCAGATGGAGACTTGGAGAGTGTAAGAGTCAGCAACGGTTGCAGTATCAAGCTTGCAATCATAGGTACTACCATAGGAGGAGCCATCACTGCAAATGCTAGGAACAGGCAAGTGCAGCTGTAGGTTCAAAGTAGATGAGGAGACAAAACTGTGCTGTTCGCTTTATAGAATGTGTGGATTGACAGCGTTTTGCAAAGAATGTTTGAAAACTACCGTAGAAGAGTGAGTCTAGGCAATGTTAAGCTTGAAATAACGGACAGCTGTTGGCTGGAAAGAAATAAGCAAATGCAGCAAATTCACCATGCTGATCACAATGAGGCTTGGGCAGCAACTTCAGCTCCAAACAGCCTTGTACGATACTTCCTTTATATGATACTGGTAATACCCCTCCTATCCTGGCATGAATGCTGACAGACACATCAAGCCTTCTGAGCAATCATGCCAGATTGGCGGGCAAAGTTGAAAATACCCCCAGCGTCAATCACGGGCCCAGCTTCCCCAATAGGCTTCAGAGCGTACTGCTTGCCTGTGGTGTGGTGGATCAGCAGATCGTGCTCCAGATCTACAGTCACCTCATCCCCCGACTTAATCACCTCGCACAGCCTCCCGCCAAGCCCCTCCGCCGCTTCAACCGGGTACAGCTCCCCGGTCGCTACGCAGTTGCGGAAGAAGATCCGCGCGTACGACTCCGCCACCACCGCGCGGCAGCCCGCCGCGCCCAGCGCAACGGGCGCGTGCTCGCGCGACGACCCGCAGCCAAAGTTAGCCCCGCCGATGATGATCGCGTATTCCGTCTTCATCTGCCCCTTCTGCACGTACCGCAGCGTGTGCTTCGCGGGCAGCCCCGCCATCGCGTAGCTCCCGAGCTTCTCGTATTCATCGGGGTTGGACGGCACGAGCGTT